ATGCAAAACTAGTTACATGTCTGTCGGTGGAAGCGGTCTCATGAACATGGTCATGTAAGGTTGGTCCAGGCTGCTTCATCCAACAATACCGTCGAATCAAAATAAGACATTGGTGGTAAGCAGTATGACGACCACCGCCCACAACTCTTTGTGTTCTACTCGTGCATATCATCTACGCATAGACTTGACTCTGATACCACTGTTGGGTAACGCAACATGCAATTTCAAAAAATTTCCTAAGCTCACGCAAGATCTATCTAGGAGATGCATAGAAACGAGAGGGGAGAGTGTGTCCACGTACCCTCGTAGACCGAAAGCGGAAGCGTTAACTTAACGCGGTTGATGTAGTCGAACGTCTTCTCGAATCATCCGATCAAGTACCGAACGTACGGCACCTCCGAGTTCTACACACGTTCAGCTCGATGACGTCCCTCGAACTCTTGTTCCAGTAGAGGCAAGAAGGAGTTGATGAGTTCCGTCAGCACGACGGCGTGATGACGGTGTTGGTGATGTGATCTGCGCAGGGTTTCGCCTAAACACTATGATGATACTATCGGAGGAGTAAACGGTGGAGGGGGGCACAACACTCGGCTAAGACAATTGTGGTCCCTTTGGGGTGCCCCCCACCCGCCCCCGTATATAAAATAGGAGGGGGAGGAGGCCGGCCACCAGTGTCGCGCCATGGAGGGGGAGTCCTACTAGGACTCCATTCCTAGTAGGATTCGCCCCCCGCCCCCCTCTTTTCCTTCTTACGGAGAGGGGGAAAGGGGAAAGAGGTGGAGAGGGAGAAGGAAAGGGGGGCCGCGCCCCCAACCCCTTGTCCAATTCGAATTGGCAAGGGGGAACCGCGCGCCACCTCCTATGGCTTGCGCTCTCCTCCCAGCTAAGGCCCATGTGGCCCATTAACTTTCCTGCGGGGTTCCGGTAACCTCCCGGTACTCCAAAAAAAATCCCCAAACCTCTTTGGAACCATTCTAGTGTCCGTATATAACCTTCCAATATATCAATCTTTACCTCTCGACCATTTCGAGACTCCTCGTCATGTCCGTGATCTCATCCGGGACTCCGAACAACCTTCGGTCACCAAAACACATAACGCAACATGCAATTTCAAAAAATTTCCTAAGCTCACGCAAGATCTATCTAGGAGATGCATAGAAACGAGAGGGGAGAGTGTGTCCACGTACCCTCGTAGACCGAAAGCGGAAGCGTTAACTTAACGCGGTTGATGTAGTCGAACGTCTTCTCGAATCATCCGATCAAGTACCGAACGTACGGCACCTCCGAGTTCTACACACGTTCAGCTCGATGACGTCCCTCGAACTCTTGTTCCAGTAGAGGCAAGAAGGAGTTGATGAGTTCCGTCAGCACGACGGCGTGATGACGGTGTTGGTGATGTGATCTGCGCAGGGTTTCGCCTAAACACTACGATGATACTATCGGAGGAGTAAACGGTGGAGGGGGGCACAACACTCGGCTAAGACAATTGTGGTCCCTTTGGGGTGCCCCCCACCCGCCCCCGTATATAAAATAGGAGGGGGAGGAGGCCGGCCACCAGTGTCGCGCCATGGAGGGGGAGTCCTACTAGGACTCCATTCCTAGTAGGATTCGCCCCCCGCCCCCCTCTTTTCCTTCTTACGGAGAGGGGGAAAGGGGAAAGAGGTGGAGAGGGAGAAGGAAAGGGGGGCCGCGCCCCCAACCCCTTGTCCAATTCGAATTGGCAAGGGGGAACCGCGCGCCACCTCCTATGGCTTGCGCTCTCCTCCCAGCTAAGGCCCATGTGGCCCATTAACTTTCCTGCGGGGTTCCGGTAACCTCCCGGTACTCCAAAAAAAAATCCCCAAACCTCTTTGGAACCATTCTAGTGTCCGTATATAACCTTCCAATATATCAATCTTTACCTCTCGACCATTTCGAGACTCCTCGTCATGTCCGTGATCTCATCCGGGACTCCGAACAACCTTCGGTCACCAAAACACATAACTCATATAATACCAATCGTCATCGAACGTTAAGCGTGCGGACCCTACGGGTTCGAGAACTATGTAGACATGACCGAGACACCTCTCTGGTCAATAACCAATAGCGGAACCTGGATGCTCATATTGGTTCCCACATATTCTACGAAGATCTTTATCGGTCGAACCGCAATGTCAATATAGTTATTCCCTTTGTCATCGGTATGTTACTTGCCCGAGATTCGGTCGTCGGTATCTTCATACCTAGTTCAATCTCGTTACCGGCAAGTCTCTTTACTCGTTCCGTAGTGCATCATCCCGCAACTAACTCATTATTCACATTGCTTGCAAGGCTTCATATGATGTGCATTACCGAGAGGGCCCTGAGATACCTCTCTGATACTCGTAGTGACAAATCCTTATCTCGATCTATGCCAACCCAACAAACACCTTCAGATATACCTGTAGAGCATCTTTATAATCACCCAGTTACGTTGTGACGTCTGATAGCACATAAGGCATTCCTCCGGTGTCCGGGAGTTGCATAATCTCATAGTCAGACGAATATATATTTGACACAAAGAAAGCAGTGGCAATAAAACTGAACGATCATTATGCTAAGCTAACAGATGGGTCTTGTCTGTCACATCATTCTACTAATGATGTGATCCCGTTATCAAATGACAACTCATGTCCATAGCTAGGAAACCTAACCATCTTTGATTAACGAGCTAGTCTAGTAGAGGCATACTAGGGACACGTTGTTTTGTCTATGTATTCACACATGTATCAAGTTTCCGGTTAATATAATTCTAGCATGATTAATAAACATTTATCATGAATAAGGAAATATAAAATAACAACTTTATTATTGCCTCCAGGGCATATTTCCTTCAGGCACTCCTTCTCCTCAGCGTATCTCTACATCATTGCCTTGCTACGACAACTCAATGGCGAGTTGGAGAACTTTGGCATTCTTACATTGGAGTCGTCGCGCATCCGACTCCGCGATCGCCAGGGAGCGACGGAGGACCGATGCGAGGAGGACGTCCTCGGGATACACCGACAAGTTTACTTGCTTGGCGCCTGGCTAATGCCTCGCCTACCGCCCTCTCTTCCTCGTGTGTTGTCGCTCGCGCCGTGCGGCCCACGCCTCTGACTCAGGCATCCTCGACCACTCTAGTGTCGACGAGGGCACGAGCACCCAACGGTGTCCATGGATGTCCTCCAGAGGTGGGAGCGAAGGAGTGGGGCAGTGTACCTGCAGTGGAGCAGAGTTGTTGTTGGTGCTGCACGCCGGACAAGGGTTCACGCCGCCGCCGCCGCCGGACGAGGGTTCATTGGAGTCGCCATTAGAGCTCACGCTGCCGCCGCCGCCGGAAGCTATATATCGGATTGGAAGAGGAGGGGACAGAGGGAATGGATTGAATTGGAGCGGACTGAGTTCTATGGTTCTCCAGATTGGGATTATATGTGGCATCCCTGCAGGCCACAATGGGCCGAGCTGACTTGGCGAACGCGCCCGAGCTCGTGCGGGGCTCCTCCAGATTAGGATTAGACTACACACAATGAGGGTAATATGAGCGATAACATCAATATCTATGTATAATAGATGATGTGACAGCTAATTAATGAGGAGGGAGACAAATTGAGTACTACCTCCGTCCTTGTTAATTGGTCCCCTTTGTAATTTGTGTTAAATTTGACCAAGGATTTAACTGACAAAATATTAGTGCATGTCAACAAAAATTATATCATTGGATTCGTATTTGAACATAATTTTCAATGATATAATTTTTTATAACATGCACAAACATTTTGTTAGTTAAACTTATGATCAAAATTTGACAGAATATACAACGAGGACCAATAAACCAAGACGAGCTAGTTACTCATACTAAGAGTAACATCACACATATCAAGATAAGATAAGTCTACAACATGATAAATAAACTGTTGCATGACACCACACATATGTTACTTCCAATTAAGATAGTAATATAGACTACTACTATGACTAGTCTTATATGTGGCATCCCTGCGGGCCACGATGGGCCGGGCTGACATGGCGAAAGCGTGTGAGCTCGCCTAGGGCTCCTTATATTTGCCCTAGATTCGGTTTTTGATTGGTTGATGACTGGCAGTTCACCCATACATAAGACCTGTTTAAGACATTCAACCTTAATCTGTCTGATTTGTGTGCCAAAACAGCGGCGCGCCAAATTATTGGCGGAGCAATTCGCTGTCAGCGAAACGTCCGCGCGTGTGTGCAAATCCTGAAGGGGCTACCAAAAAGCTGGCTCGGGCGAACCAACATATGGTTGGATGGTTAAAAGGACCGTGGTATCTCTAACCCATCAGGGTTCAAATCCTGGTACTCGCATTATTCCTGAATTTATTTCAGGATTCTAGGCGATGCGCTTTTAGTGGGAGGAGACGTTCCCGTCGACGACGAAGCGTCTACGATGACTTCGTAAATTTCAAGATGACATGCCGGCTCAGTCTCTCGGAGGTGCTCATAGGGATAGGATGTGCGTATGTGCGTTCATAGGGGTGAGTGTATGCGCGTATGTAACGCTTGCGATGTTCCCGTCGGCGACGAGACGTCTACGGTGACTTCGTAAATTTCAAGATGACATGCCGGCTCAGTCTCTCGGAGGTGCTCACAGGGATAAAATATGCATGCGTGCGTTCATAGGAGTGAGTATATGCGCGTATGTAGAGCTTGTACTGATGTTAAATTTTTTTTTGCTCGGACCACGGAACCAAAAAAATTGGCTGCCATCCAAAGTTCCAAACGCACTCCAACCCTGGCAGTCAACGCCAATATTTTTGGTGGGGCGCCTGCTTGCTGCCATCCAAACAGCCCCCAAATCCGCGCGCCTCTCACATCCCAGACCGCTGCTGAGCCTGGCCGACATGGCCACCGCCTCGATCGCCGTCCGCTCGGCCTTCGGTGTCGCCCTGGCCGCCTTGATCGCGGCGCGTGCCGTCCGGCGGCGCTCGCTGGATGCCTGGGGCGGAGCTGCCGGGTTCGCCGTGATGGCGCTCCACCTTGCCTGCGGCTATAGGTACGGTGCGCTGCTGCTGGCTTTCTTCTTCACCTCGTCCAAGGTGACCAAGATCGGCGAGGACCGCAAGCGGCGCGTTGAGGAGGATTTCAAGGAGGGTGGCCAGCGCAACTGGTAATGGGCATCTCCGTGTTTGGCTACGTTTCTGAGCTGAGTTATTCTCATTTTAGCTTTCACATGTTACACGGGTGCACTTTTTGTGCTGAAAAATTGCTACACAAACTAAACTAATAGTGAACAATGTAGCAACACAGGTATTCAGTGTTCCTGATAGAGTTAGGCATTCAGTATTTTCTCTCTGTATACCGAAAAAGGGTTTCCCCACCCTTTGTATTCCAAACACCATACAATGCGGGGGAAACCCTTTTTCGGTATAAACGTAGTAGCTTAACACATCGTGTCCTAACAGTATGAAATGACTTAGGATTTGCCTGAACTGTTGACACAACCTTTGCATCTGAGTTCTCAAGTTCTCTTCCTCCTACTTGAATACGTGGTTAGTTGTTCCCAATGTTTTAAATAGCGGGCTATGCCATTTAGCGGGGGCTCGGCTAGCACCTATTTGAAGCTATAGTGGGGCTAAGAGCATCTCCTCTAGGGCCCCAGGACGCCCTCCAAGCACCTTTTTTTAGCACCGGCGGGTAAAAAACGTCCCAGCCAGCCCCCAGGACGTCGTTTTTCGCCGGATTTTGCGAAAATTAGCGCCGGCACGCCCACCCCGCACCCAGCCCGCCGGGGGGCAGCCGGGGACGCCGGCATTGCTTTTTGCAGGCGCTGCCCCACTTGCCAGCCTCTCTCTCCCCTCTCCTCTCCTTTCTCTCTGTTCTTTCTCCTCTCTCCTCTCATTTTTCCTTCCGCCACCTACCACCCACCGTCGCGGCCTCCTCCTCGCCGCCGCACGCCGGGGGCGCGCCTCCGCAGCCTCCCCTCGCCCTCCCCTCGCCGGCCACCGCGGCCCCGCTCCCGCCGGTGGCCGCCTTCCCTGCTGCGGCCTCCCCTTGCCGATCGACTCGCCGCCCCCGCCGCCCGCTCCTCCTCCGTGGCGCAGCACCAGGGGCCGGTGCTCTCGCTGGCGTTCCTCTCCAAGCTACTCGACGCCGTGGTGTCCTCGGACGCCGCGTTCCGGGACGCCCTCGCCAGGCCCCCCGCAGACCGCCTCGCCGCCGACCTGCTCGACCGCTCCGTCAAGGCACCGACGTGCTCAACGCGGTCTCCCTCGCGATCGCCTCGCTCCGGAGCTCCCTCCGCGCCGCGCTCACCGCCGCGTCCTGCCTCCTCGCCGCCGACGCGCCGCTGCTGCACCGCCGAGGAGGCCTGGGACGCGCCGGGGAGGAAGCGGAAGGGCCCGGAGCTGGACGTCGCGAGGAGCATCGAGCTGCTGGCGAGCTCGTTCCTGAAGATCGAGCGGAGACCATGGCCAAGACGCAGCTGCAGATCGCCAGGCTCTTCGCCAATCAGCTCAAGGAGTGCGTCGGCGCTAATGGTGGCAGCACGTGGAGCTGCCCTCCTCCCTCGACGTGCTGCAGGAGCTCCGGGCGAGGCCGGGGCCGGACATGGCCTGGGGCGGGCGTGAACGGGGCAGCCGTGGCCTGGACGGCGGGCGCGGCGGGCGAGGGCGCGGCCTGGACGACGGACGCGGCGGGCGAGGGCGCGGGCTCGCTGTGTCGTTCCTCGCTTGGGGGTGGACACGGCTGGAAATAAATTCATCCTCAAGCCAAAATTTCCGTTGGCAGCCCCCCAAGCGGCGAAAAAAATGCCTCCTGGGGGGCTCAACGGCTGGAGATGCTCTAAGACTACCCACAGTCGGAATAACATAGGTGGTAACATCACACATCTCTAGGCAAAACAGATGATGTGACGAGTAATTAATGAGAAAAGAGAGGCATGTGGTAACATAGTTAGTTACTGTAACATCACACATATCAAGACAAGATGAGTCTACAACCTAATAAATGAAGTGTTGCATGACACCACACATATGTTACTCCCCATTATAGAGGTAGTAATATAGACTAGTAACATGTGCATGTTACTATTCTAAGTTACTACCCATTGTGACTAGTCTAAGCCATGGTTTGCATGTTACAGGCCTTTGGTGTTCCACCTGTAACTGACCCAATATCTATAAGGGTCTGTACTGGAATAGTTTAGAATCCTCTAGGAGTATCTCTTCCCCTCATCAATGTACTCCATCCATTTTGTATTCCAATCTATTGCTTAAACACGAATACGTCCCTGCCAGGAAGGCATACTATTGTAGGGCACGGGCCAAACTGCCCCGATTTGTCCCTATGTTCATGAATTGGAGGTGGGTTCGAGGGGGAACACGAAGAGCACGAGGGGAAAACGGGGAGAAATCATAAGAGGAACACTCAAGAACAAATCCAATCACACATCCACTAGACAACAAACACACAAGATCCACAAGATACATGAACAATCAAAGGGAGACAAGATGTTCATCCCAAATCCAAAGGAGATGATGATACGGGGCTAACCCGGTGTAGGACGATCTTTCACGATTGGAGTGGATTCCCTCGAAGAACACGAAGAACACGGGGAAGAACGGAGAGAAATCACAAGGGGAAACACTCAAGAACAAGTCCAATTACACATCCGCTAGACAATCAAACACACAAGATCCACAAGGTACATGAACAACAAAGGGAAAGATACAAAGTAAAGTTCATCTCCATGAGGAGGTCTTAATGATATCCTAGACGGATCTTCCGGCCTTGATGATATCCCGCAGGATCTTCTCACATGGAGGCCTTGAACACCATGGGAGTGGTGGTCTCTCTCTCTCTCAAGAGGAGTGGTAGGAGCAAAGCTCACATACAAATGAGCTATCACCTTGCTAACCCTAGAAAGGAGAAGGGGGAGGTCTATTTATAGTCTAAGCCACGAAGGGGTAAGTGGGAGAGAGGTACAAGGCCAAAGGCCCGGCTGCGCACAGGCAGTGTCGGACGTCCGGTCGGTGTCGGACGTCCGGAGGGCGTCGGACTTCCGACGTTTCTTCTCTGGACTGGTGGCACTGGTCGTTCGGTCGGCGTCGGTCATCCGGTGGCTGGAGGTTGTTGGACGTTCGGCGGTCGTTGGTCGTCCGGGCGCTGTAGGGTTGGCAGCATTCGTCCTTCTGGTCGGCTGGGTGTGGACGCGTCGGACGTCCGGAGGCGCTCGGTCGTCCGGGCGCTGTAGAGTGTCGGACGTCCGGTGGCTTTCGGTCGTCCGGCCGTTGTAGACTCCGCAACTCTGTCTTCTTCCGTCTTCGCTTCCACGCTTCCCTCGCGGATGGTGTAGGTGATCCTTGGCGCTTGCACTCCTTCTTGTCGTTCGTGAGGCTCCGACAATACCTATGCATGCACTCGATTGGAGTGTCAAGTAGTATACCATCCTCGAAGGGGTCAAGTGAGCACGTGTAAAGGAGATGATTCACCTTTATGCATGTGAAGTAGATGTCGCACGTGTCACTTGCCAAACGGACTCTTGACACGGTGATGACCTTAGGATGCTCCGCATCACCCCCCCCCCTTGGGAAAGATCCGACCTCGGATCTAAAACCAAATCACCATGGGAAAGAGATGGCTTCGCCGTGTAGGAGTGGACGTTCACCAAGTACTCATCATCTTCAAGCTCGAAATGGGCACTCTCCAATGTAGCACCGTCTAGCGATTCCTTCAAAAGGAGCAAAGACAACAAACACTTGCAAAAACAAATGTGGTTAGCGTTAGTGCAAAGCCAAGCATTCGAGAGGTGATTCACCAAACAAGTGTCGTCATCAAGCGTAGCATAAGGTGTGACAAAGGATTGTGACATGGCATGTAAGCACATAAATTGAGCACAATGAAGGAAATCATGGAAACAAGCATGTAAATGTGAGGTAGCGATGCAAATATGTGTGACAAGAGAATAAGCATGTACCTCAAAGTTATAGCTAGCAATCACAAAGCGCTCATTGAAAGGTCTATGGTAGGCATAGGAATCATTCACAACACCAAATAAAATGAAGTGTCTAAACACATGGGTCAAGTGCAAGACAATCCAAGCATAACGTGCATAGGGTGTAGTGAATTAGTGTGGCACTCAACACAATAGAAAGAGCAATTGTTCATCATGTGTGAGGCAATCAAGTCAATCATGTGTCAAGCAATGTGACATGGCATATGTGAAGAAATGACATTGTTGCAACCAAACATATGATAGGGGCAAGTAATCCAAGAATTGGATGCAACACACAAGGTATATATGTCACGAGGCATGGAAATGTGCAAATGACAAGTCGAAGCTAGATCTCTAACATGTGCGCAATCAAGTGGTCCAAGATGGCCAATAGGTCGCATGGTACAAGCAACACAAGTAGTACGATCCGCAATATCCATGCTCAAGAAAGATGTCACCTTGAAGGCGTGTCCTTGTGCATTCTTCACAATGCCGAAGCTCAAGCAAATGCGGTGTAGAAGCGGGTCGTGGTAGAATGTATGAGGCTTGCTCTCTAGAGCTCGAATGGTCAACTCACGTGAAGTGGAAGTCGACACGAAGTCCAAGTATCCTACACATGCACACAACAAAACAAAGAACGTATGCGCATGGTAGATAAACACATCGTCCATCATGATGGTTCTCATCTTTTGCACATAACCATTATAAGCACAAGTGCATGAATAATATGATGCAACAATGGCTATATTCATGGCACTAATTATATGGTGCAGAGAGGTAAGACAAGCATGCTTCACAAGGAATATGTCAAAATCTCCAAATATATGCGAGAATGCTATAGGGGCAATCTCATTAGCAAGCCTAAAATCATTGTTGCACTCAATACATGGAAAATCATCTAGCATGAGAGAGGCAACACATGGAGATATATGACAAGAAGCAATAACAATCATATGCAAAGCATGTAGATGGTTGTCATCAACCGTATGAAATGAGCAAGTATGAATCATCGGTGATGCAACATAAGCAAGCATAGTAATCAAGTCGTGCAAACTAGTGGAGCGAAGATGCAACACACTAGAGGAAATCATGGCAATCATGTCATGTGAGCAAATAATAGACATAGGCAATGCACATGACATATCGCAAGCACAAAAATGAAACATGATGAAAGC